TAGAAGTTTACAAAACTTCTTCATGACAAGCTTGACTTCATCATCGTCGCTTGAATCATCCATCGTTGATTCTTTGACGGCTTTTAATGCTATCCCTTTCCTTTGGTCATTCAAAGACGGGTTAAGAATAGTAGATTCATAGGTTTTTAGATTACCTCTTAGACCGTCGATGGTGACATTTGATGTGCCGATTGATTCATAGATGGCATCGGCCTTGGATCGCCATTTGGATGTCAAGCTCCGTAGGATCTTTTGCACAAGATCCTTGTCGGTGTAAGTCTTCTTTAATGCATGAAGATCGTTGACTATTTTGGAAAATCTGTCGAACATGTCGTCAATCTTCTCGTGCTCCTTCATCCTGAACATCTCATACTCTTGGGTGAGGAAGTCGATCTTGGCTTCACGTACTTGGTCCGTTCCTTCGTACGTCACCTCGAGCTTATCCCACATCTCCTTGGCTGTTGTGCAGCAGGAGATCTTGCGGTAGTCATCAGGATTTACGGCACAATAAAGCTTGTTTATTGCCTTTGCATAATTCTCGACCTTTTTGATGTCCTCGGCATCAAACTCGTCTTCGGTCTTGGGGATCAACTTGTCACCAACTTTCTTCATCGGCACCTCTTCCCCGTTTTTGATAACCAACCATAATTGAAAGTTTGTGGAACGAATATAGATTCTCATTCGTTCTTTCCAATATGTATAATTGGTTCCATCAAAAAGAGGTGGCCGTGTGGTTGATTGCCCTTCACCTATTCCTGCATACAAATTTCTAGAAGAAGAACCCATGATCGCTTTTACTCTCAAACGGTTAAGTTTGGACGCGAGTTAGGCTCTGATACCAATTGTTAGAATAAGTGACCAACGCTAGAGGGGGGTGAATAGCATTTGATCGTAGAAATCGCAGGAATAAAAAAAATTAAGAACGTGAAAAGTAAAGAGCGTAGAAAGCGTAAAGGGAGCACACCAAGATTTATACTGGTTCACCACAACGTGTGGCTAATCCAGTCTCCCGAGAGACTCTCTCGAGCTACACTACTTCTGTTAAGCTTGCGGGTGCTTAACAAACCGTTACAACCTGAGAACTCGAGTCCCACGAGCCTCAACAATACTTGCTCAGAGATACCGCACTCCAAGACTTCAACCCAAAGGAAAATACCTTTCCTTCGTACAACCAAGGGAAACAAGCTTCCCTTAACGTGTATACAACACTAAACACTCAAGAACAAGACTCTCTTTAAGAGTAGATGATGAGTAAACTACGTACGCTCAAGAACAACTCAAACTTCACACAATTTGGCTCTAGAAAGCTATGGAAAATGATGTTATATGAATGCAATGATAATGTGTGTAATGTGAAGTGAATTGATGTGTAAAG